TACTCTGCCAGCTGGCACTTGAAAATTTTTCTCCTAAGAAGCCAAGCTCCCACTCAGCTGGGATCCACTTTTCTATGTCTCCTTGAGCAGCATGGGAATCTTCTCCAGGGTAACAGGTGTGTTCGGCTACACAGAGCCATGCTTCTGCCACTAACCTTGAGGTGCGGTTGGGAGTGCGGTGCTCGGTGTACGAGGCTGAGAAACATTTAATTTCACAAAGCAGAACAAAACAACCAAGACGTTCTTCAGTTGCTAAGTCCACAAATGGGATCCATCTGCGTCGTGGCATATTGTTCAAGGCTAAGAAGAAGTGTAAAGGCATGAAACCTGAAATGAATGTTTCTGAGTGAAAGAAGCCAACCTGAAAAGGCCGTTTGCTGTAAGATGCCAACTGTGTGACATTCTGGAAAAAGGCAAAACTACGGAGACGGTAACAAGAATGACAGTGTTTGAGGTTAGAGGCAGAGCAGGAGGGTATTTAAGGCGGTGAAATTGCTCTGGATGGTACTATCAGGGTGAATCCTTCAAACCATAGGATGTACAGGATAGGGTGACCAGATTTTAACATCGGTAAGGCGGGACAACATGGCCGGGGGCCGGGGTGGGGCAGGGCCTGACAACAATGCAAACTTTGATAAGCAGTTCTCGATAATCACTTCTCAACAATTATTTGTTATTACTACAGTTTAACATTATAAAATTAAGAAAAATAATATAAAACTCATATTCTGGCGAAATAGCCACATGGCAGCCGAAAACCACATATTCCCTTCCTGTTCTCCTGCCTGTTCGTGGATTCTTTCCAAAAATCGAGACTTTTAAAAAACACCATGGGACGCAGGACAAATTGTTAAAAGCGGGACGTCTGGTCACCCTAGTACGGGACCAGGAGAGAGAGCCCTAGTGTAAACGGGGGACTTTGAGTGATAATGACATGTCATTGGGTCATTGGTGTTAACAAATGTCCCTGTCTGGCAGGGAATGTTGATGGGAGGAGAGACGGTTGTGTATTACGGGAGGGGCACATCCAGACTCTGTATTTTCAGTTGGATTTTGCTGCCAACTTAAGACTGCTCTAAGAAAATAAAGTTTATTTAAAAATACATTAATTAACAAAAACTTTCATTAAGCAAACATTTTTTAAAAACGAGTAAATGATGAAATTCTGTATCCGTACTTTCAATAAATTCTATTTGAAGCTTTCTTTTGAGCTTTTTTTGTTTGTTTGTTTTGTTTTGTTTTTAACTTTCTTAGAAAAATGCTGGGCCGAGACAGCATTACGCAGCTGTCTCTTAGATATTCAAGAATGTGTTCCTCCTCCCGGCTGAGATATTTGACCTTCACCCTTTTTGTGTTAGAATATAAGAATGGAAACTGTAATTGTCCCAGGGAATCAAGTAAACAGCTTATAAGAAAATCTGTTGAGAAAATTTTGGCACAAATCGGTG